AATAAAAATTAATTGATTAAAAGTAATTATTTCAAGAATTACAAATACACACAGCCACGTTGGCATCATTTTTGGCGACTTCTGTCAAAACTTGAAAATGGTTTTTTTTCTCACGTTTGAAAGCATTCAGTTGAACTGAAATTTTATATACACGATTGTTTTGAATGACAATATGATACTTTAATAATAATGAATAAAAATTAATGACCACTTAATGTTGTGATTCTGTCATATGTATATAAATATTTATATTAATTGTAACTATTTAAAAAAAAGTAACTAAAATAAAATTTATCTTTGTTGATCTAAATAAAATTGACTTACAAAAAAAAATTTATATTACTTGTTTTGTGTCATGACATTTTACTTACAAAACTCTTCGAATAATCCCCAAACTTCTTTCTCATGTAAAAATTTATTCATTCTTGAGGTCATAAAGTTAAAAAGATAAAATTGTTCTATATTTAAATTGAAAAAAGCTTCATTAAAATTATTTCATGATGGATTAAACGCTGAACGATATTTTAATAATGCGACTAGGAATATGTTTCAAATACAAAACCTAGAGATTGATTTCTATCGTTTTTCAATGTAAGCACGTACACTAACAATTTTTAAAATTGATTTATTGAAAGAAAAATCATTATTATTTAAATTTGGATTTCATTTACCCCCCCCCCTCCCACCCATAAAAGAAATGGATTGAAGCTTCAATATTTGCTTCCATTTTTTGATATTTTATTTTCTGCGAATCGATACAAGTCAGATTTTCTAATTAATTTTAAAGAAGTAAGTTAAAAATTGATTTAATGCCTTTACTATTGTATTGTTTCGAAAAATTGAGAAAACTTGAAAAATCGGTTTTTATCTGTGTAGCACTTATTGAATTATTCTCATTTAAATTTTTCTATCTTTGTATTTATATATTATATTCTTAACTGATGTATTACCTATAGAATTTATAATTGATTAGATATATTTTAAAATACTAATGACTTAAGAAGTTATTGATTTAAAGACAGAAAGATTATTTTAATAAATGCATTTACAAAATGTCAAATGTGTGTATTGATTCACGATTTTATTTTACTTAATTCACTTACATTGAAATAGAATAAAAATCAAGTAAATTAATTGAAATACATTTGATTTTTATACTATGTGCATATAATAGTTAAATATTTCCAGATATATATTCTGTTTGCATATGCCTCAAGAATCTTAATCCAAAATGGAAAACATTAACAAAACACGATTGTATATTTTCTGTTAGGAAATTAATCATAAGCTGTATTTAAAATAAAAAAAAATACATTAATTGTAAAAAATGTGATTTATAATTTTCATCATTTAAATCTAAAATAAGTTATGCTGGGTGATCGATGAGTTACGTCTCCAATAATATAAAATAAGTTTCCGACGAGGTAAAATAATAACAGAGGTATCAGAATGAAGGAAATATATTACTCTTACATATTGTAAACTCATTTCTCAACATAGTCACCACTAACAGCTACACATTTGTTCAATCGTTCTATCCTTTTCTTCACTCCGTCCATGAAGAAAGGTTCTGGTTGGCTGCATATCCATTTGCGCACGGCTGTCTAAAGATTGACATCCTAGATTCATCATTATGACCCAGATAACATGGAATATGGTTATCCTGATTCTCCAAGTGACAAGAAATTCAAAACTTTAATGCCAGCAACAAAAGTCAGGCTCACTATCTTTTTGGAATGTAAGTGGTGTTCTCTAAACTGAATTTTTGACTAAATGATTGATGTTGAATTTGGACAGGTACTGTACAACATTACGATCCCTCAAGCAATGCATCTATAGAATCAGACAGGAAATAAAAGCCTTTCTTTTGCATCCCGACAATGCAAGACCGCAATGCAGTGCTCAAACAAAGGACGTCATGGGAAACTGAAATTCACAGTGATTCCACAACCTCCTTTCAGCCCAGATTTAACACCATCGAACTTTTGAAAATTGAAAACTTTTGAAAAGGAACCGCTGAAAGGTCAACGTTTTTCAGCGAATGCCTGAAGTTCAGGCAGCCGTGCGCAAATGGATACGCAGCCAACCAAAATCTTTCGACATAGACGGAATGAAGAAATGGATTAAACGATTGAACAAATGTGAAGCTGTTAGTTGTGTTTATGGTGAGAAATGAGTTTACAATATGTAAAAGTAATACATTTCCTTCATTTTGATACCCTTCATATTTTATCCTTTTCGGAAACTTATTTTCATACTATTGGAGACCTTACTTATCAATCACCCCTCGTAATTTAAAATATCTCACTTTAAGAAATATTCCGTTTAACATTTAATACATTCTTTAAATTTATTACCTCTTTATTTATTTTCGCTAGTTTTTTCTATTCCCACAACAAAGTATTAATGGAAACTATATTAAAAATAGAATTTTATTGCACAGAAATGATTTAAAAAAGAAAACCAAGTATTTTATTTAGCGAAATCGTAAACAAATTTCTTTTAGTTTTTTTCTTTAAAAATTCTGTTTGAATATGAAATTATTTCATTTTTTAACAATTACTAATCCACTTTAAGAATTTTCATTTATTTCTCTTTTTTTATCATTTTTTCTAATTCTTCCTCGTTTTCATATTTATGCACTCGCGAAGAAAAAATGAAAGATGTAAGAACTTTATGGGAAACTCGAATACGTAATGAGTTTTATATTTCTGTATTATAAATACAGCTTCAATTCATGTCGAAAATAGTGTACATAAAAATTGCAGGTGCATTAATTGTTTTTGGCATTTGCAGTTTTGTTTCCAAAAGAAAGATATCAATAATCCTAACTCTTTCCTCATAAAAACTTAATCTTCTGATTTTCAACTTTTACACAACTTTGCATATATTCTCTTCTCCAGTGATAATAGGCAAATGCATGATGTGTGTGTGTGTGTGTGTGATTTTATAATATTTTTTTTTACTTCATTAATATTCCTAACTTGAATGAATTAAAAACGGAATTGTGATATACCAAACACACAAATAGTTTATGTCAAATTAAAATTTTATGTAAAAATTAAATGTATTTTTCAATTTTGCTGTTACTTCACTCTCCCTATATACAGGGTGTATCTAACCTGCGGCAAAACTTTAAGTGGTGATCGTACACATCAAGACAAAACAATAGTAAATAGGAAACTAGGTCCCAAACGCTTCCAAAGGAGATATAGGGCCATTAAAGTTTAGGGTCGAAATTTCAAAATTACAAGAAACGAAAAATGGGTCGATTTTTCAGGTTTTAGCTAAAATTATTCTTTTGTCAGTGTTTTCTTCAAAAATAGATTTTAAAGATAAAGCTCAAAAAATATCGATAGAAGGCGCTTTAGACTTTGGAGTGACGAAATTCTATTTTTACTGTTATTTTTGTATCAGATAGGTTTAGTTAGACTTAAACTTAAATTTTGAGCTCAAATTGAATTTGAGTAGTGGGATAAGGGCAAAGAAAGTTGTCAAGCGGTGAAATTTGAACTCTTTTCCCTCTTAAAGATTTCAGTTTTCCCGATCTTGTGGTATCTACAGCAACAATACCTCCTAATAAAGTATAGAGAGAGGGATGAAAAGTTTAAAAAATTATTCATAATAACATGAGCAACTTTCTGCTCAAAATAAAAATTAAAAATTCGTAAAGAATTTGAATAATATTGAACTCAGAAATGGGAATCTGATTTTGCGGATTTACAAAAACTGCTCGAAAAGCCAACCCAAAGAGCAGGGCCCACACCGCCGGCGGAGGAATGTCCAACTTTAGTAAATACCCGGGTACTCCCTATTTCGCCCCTACGACAAGAATCCCGCAACCAGGTCTCGACGGATTCGACGGGTTTTCGTAAACAAGACTATCTATGGCCACAGAGAAGAAGTCTTGGCGGAGAATCCGGGGAGCAAAATCGGCAATTACCGGACCACCCCACCCAATCCGTCATCCTGGATATGCTTGTAAGCGATGCATTTCGCATTTTTCCCTTGAAATTGCACGCTTCTTCGTCATGTTAACCCACACGAGACTTGATGTTGCCGGAACACCAGTAGAATTACATCCTTACATACAATGAGCACATACTTTAAAACCGGATTTACTTTGCATGCAAATTGGGTGATTTGCATAATCGGGTATTTTGCGGGGAGAAATTGCTCAAGTCTGTTATGAATAACTTTTTTATTTAATTTTTTCATCCCTTTCTCGTTTATTTTACGTTTAATGTGTAGTAGCTGCTATCTAGTCTACGACCGAGCATCGTAGATCGTGAATAACTGAACTGTGTCCAGGAAAGGAGATGAGTTCGAAATTGACCGGAACACAGTTGAGTTTCCGCTATTTAACCACCCCCAACGATTCAAATTTTAAGATCAAAATTTTAGTTTAAGTATAAGCTTTTGAAAGCATTCAATGTGAAAGAAAAAATAATGGTAAAAATAGTTGTTCGTTACTCGAAGGTCTAAAGCGCCCTCTATCAACATTTTTTTTAGCTTTATCTTTAAAATTTATTTTTCAAGAAAATACTGACAAAAAGAATAATTTTAGCGAAAACCGCTAACGAGTCAACCCATTTTTCTGTTTTTCATAATCATTTGAAATTTCGGACCCTAAATAATGGCACCTATCTCCTTCAGAAGACGTCTGGGACCCTAAGTTTCCTATTTACTATTATTTGTCTTGATGTGTACTATCACCACTTAAAGTTTTGCCGCAGAGTTTACATACACGCAAAAAGTTACGCAGAGTTACATGTATATACATACATATATATAACTTGTTCAAATCTTCAATCGTAAAAAATATTTTCTATTCATCCACTCACAAGTTCAAAGACATTTTTTTAAACTTATTGTGGATGACCCTTGATGTTAATACAGATTTTAAAAAATTAATTCATTAATTAAATTAAAAAATGAATAAAGAGTAATAAACAAAAATAATAGTTCAACAGAATATTTAAAAAAAAATCGTTCGTGGTGTCCCTGTAGCGCAATGTATTACGCGTTGAAGTTCTAATCCAGAGGTCATGGGTTCGAAATCCATCTGAGATTACCTAATTTCTGAGAATGTGATTTCCATTTTATTATGCTATTTTATTAGAATAATTAAATTTAATTAATGAATAAATAGTAATAAATAAAAAAAATAGTCCAACACTAATAGAAAGGAAAACGGAAAATTGCAAGGAAAATCGCTTTCTATTTTGTCACTTAAAATTGTGATTATGTGTCCTATGTATATAAATATTTATATTAATTGAATTTACTTTATAAAAAGTAACTTAAGTAAAATTTTCTTTGTTGAACTAAGCAGGAATTGACTTATTTTTTATGTTAGTTTTCAAACGGAACTAGTGACATACCAAATACAAATATAGTTAATGTTAAATTAAAATTTTATGTTAAAATAAAATGTATTTTTTGTTCTATCCCTATATCCAACCATTCTGTCAGAAATCGATGTACAATCCGATACCATGAAGAACGAAAAAATCAATCACAAAGGCACAGGCAATAAAACTCGAAGAAAACCAGTTTAGAAGAGTAGGTCATACTCGGCGGTGATCCCTAGTCATGAATACGCCATGGTCACAAAGTGGACAGGAATCTAAATCTGTCATTCCCATTCTATACAGGAAACTCTGTAAATAGTCAAGAGCAGAGGTAAGTTTAAACCCACGCTGACCGCTCTAGGCAATGAACTAGAAATTCTTGTCGACTTATTCTTGTTTCGTTTTTTTCCCGAAGTCTTCTTTATACACGGACTGGAAAAGGATAGATTTTACAGAGTTCAATATATAACTCTTTGTACATCGCAAAAAAAGAAGGGTCAATTGCGCCATTTTAGGATCCACTGTTCGACAACATATCTACACGAATATAGAGAGTGAAGTATTCTTACAAGTATCTTTAAATGTTGGATAATGTGTGTGATGCAATAAAATTTTTTTTACAATATATATATATATATATAAATGGATGTTTGTATATATGAAATCCCCTCACTCAAACACCATTCAACCGATTACTATGAAAATTGCTATATATATGTATTTTTTGTGGAGAAAACTTTTGTACTATCCTAATGGTTGCAGCTCCCCACCAGGTGGAGCTACTGCATACCAACTTCTGCATCGTTCAGTCAATCGCGAAATTGCCAAAAGGGTCACCAAAAATGATGCCAACTGGGCTGTATCACCAACATTTCGATGCATTTCCATTTAATTGCCATTATAATGTAGGAAATGGTGTTGCTAGCGAATGTTACAATTTTAACTTAAATACAACAGAAAATAATATTAACGTATTACATTTCCAGATATAAATTATTTACACTATTTTAAGTGTTCATTACACAAAACTTGTAACAATGGTCTACTTTTGCTGAGCAGAGATCAGCTTCGGAGGGTGTTTTCAAAAATCGACCCACAAGAGAATTACGGGGCATTATAAATAAAAAAAAATCCTTTTTATCATCTATTCGACCTTCAGACATAAAATTTAACAAATATGTTTTTGTTCAGCTGAGATATTCAAAAAGCTTTTATTGTTTAATTTGCAATTCATGTAAAATTAACTCATTAAAAACTTCTTTAGCCTTCAATCTGTATTGTTTAATTTTTCAATTCATCCGTGTGAAGAACGGGTATTCCAGCTCGTTATGTCTAAAGTTCAACCACATTTTAAATAAATGAGTGCGTGAATGTTAACTTCGCATTATTCAGCTACTCGTGGGCTTTTTGCGACGGACCTCGTCCTTTTGAATCATGTTGAAGTGACGAGAAAACACCTGAGCTGGGCACCCCCTCTCTCTCTCCTAACTTCCACACCACAACAACGGGAGGATGCTTGACCGTCGACATATTTAACGTACATCGGCCCCCACTGCATGGCGAATCTTCAGGGATACTAGGCTTGAACCCCATGACACGCCGGCCACGAGTCCTTTACTTGAACCACTAGGCTACCGCGGCCACTTAACCGATTTAAGTGAGTGAGTGAGTGAATATTAATTTCGCACGATTCAGCTACACGAGGGCTTTTGGTCAACTGTTTTAAGAGCCTGATTGTTATTACGGTATGTTCGGAGTTAAGACAGCATTTCTCATACTGTGGGGTGCGACCCACTAGATAACCTTTCAATAAGAGCGAGAGCATATTGAAAAGTCAAAAATGAAAGATTTTAAAAAATACAAATTTACTGAAAGGAAGCAACAAAAAATACATTCTGACATTATAAAAGTAAAATACACAATTACACTGATGCAATATACTTATAAATGCATCAGTATTGCTCAATGCAGTGTTTCTCAAACTGTGGGGTTTGCCCCCTTGAGGGTGTGATAAACCTACAAGGGGGTGCGAGTATATCAAAAAGTTGAAATCAAAAGATCAGTTTTAAAAAATTATTAATTTACTAAAAGCAAGCAAAAGAAAATACATTCTGACATAAAAAACAAAATACACATTCACACTGGTTTCACACACTTGTAAATGTATCAGTACTGCACACAAGATGTTTTATGGTTAATTTAACAGTACTAAGTTAAGAAAATGTTTAATAATTACCAGTGACCCTATGGGCATGTCATAAAATTATATACAAAATTTGATCTTAATCTTGATAATTTGTATGGTTTATATTTACAATCGTATTGTAGCTTTACGTCAAAATAAATTATTATTAAATTCAATACATTATTATTGTATGGAAAGGGGGCGCGATGAAAATTATGATTGAAAATTGGGTTGCAAGAATAGAAAGTTTGAGAAGCACAAGCTCTATGTATTTAATAATTATTTTACCAATACTAAGTTGGAACAAGATTAATAATTACTAATTACTCCCATGGGCTTGTCATGTACAAAATTATATGCAAAATTTAATAATTATTTTCATAATTAGAAGGGTTTATAATTAAAATCGTATTGTAGCTTTAGCGTCAAATATATTATTATTGAATTCAAGAAATTGTTGTTGCACGGAGGGGGGCGCGATGAAAATTATGATTGAAAATTTGGTTACAAGTATTGAAAATTTGAGAAGCACTAAGTTAAGAAATGCGGTGCATTTTGTTCATACGTTAAAATATATTATTCAATATTTAGATTTTAAACATTTTAAAAGCATAACTTTCTTAACAATATGAAAGCAATATTTCGGACTGTATTACAGTTTGTATCAATTTTAAAAAAATCGTAAGAGATTTATATTTAAAGTTCAAATTTAAAAATTGAAAGATATTTTTTTTGTTCATAAAACAAAACATTAAGAAAATACGGTTTTTGTATTCGATGCTTTTATATTTAAATTTTAATCTTTCAATTCGTTAGAAAAGTTTTATGTACCCATTTCGTATTATTTAGCTTTTGAATTGCTGCTACAGAATAATCCATTTTAAAATTTTATACATTTTGAACTTGTGTTGATTGCAACATTTCAAGCACTTTAAGAACTTACGAGAAAAAAAGTGCGGAATTTTTTCCCCTGCTTTTTTAACATTTTTAATATATTGTTACGTTGATCTGGGGCTCGAGGATTTTATGCAGATCAGTCGCAAATAACAAGACAGTTCTTTAAGAGCGATGAGAATTTATTGTCGAAAATCCTATCCTTTAAATGCAGGATTCAGCAGCAATATTCACAAAATAAATTTCAGAAGATCTTCACACCTTCATAAGAACTCAGACACAATCTTCGGTGTCTAAAATACAAGTATATATGGGATTATTCACAAGCAATCACTCATTCAACAGCCGAAGTAACCACTAATCGCTTCAACAGTTAAAGCAATACTAACTGATCACTAGTCAAAACTAGACCAACTGACTTTCGGCGAGCATCTCTATTTATATTCCTCACAGATAATTCGAGAAAGACCCGCTTGCTTCATAGGTCTTAAAATTATGGGTTTCCCCCAATTTCTAGAAGAATCAGGGGGCCCCCAACCCCCAAAAAATGGTCCCCAAACAGATCGCCAAGTCCCCAAAAATGTTTCCTGCCAAAAAAAATTACGCCCCCTCTATCCCGATTTCGCCAAGTTCCCAAAATCACCATTATAACGGGGGGACGGCGTTTGCTTGTGAATATTAAAATTTTTAACGTAACTTAAATTAATTTAGAAAAATAAAGGCATTACACATCCAATACAAATTATTTACACTATTTAACCAAATTCAAACACTATCATGGCTTCTATTGTTATTGCAGCAAATGTTTGACCCAAAAGGGTTTCGAATGCATAAATAGTTATAGGAACTCTCATCTCATAAATATAAGGGTCACTATTTGGGAGCTCTCAGTATCTTTCCAATTGAATATACTGTTGAATATCTCAGAGACTAACCACTAGGAAATATTCAATAGATTTTCTCTAGTGCTTGATAACAATTATAATTTGGGAAAGTATATCCGTAATAGCACCACACAATTATATCCTTTTATTAAAGTGAGTAATATATTAAAAGGGAATGCAAACTTATCAACATCGTTCCGGAAACGGACTAATTTGTGAAGTTATCTTCATGTTCATTATTGGAATTCAGACTAATTGCGTAGAAAATCGTTTCTATTTTTCATTATAACATCAAATATTTGAAAAGTCGGAATTTCATTTCATTCATGTGAATATTTATTTATTCTAAACATTATTTTTGAATGCATCATAATTCTATAACTTCATATATCATCGATTATTTTTTTGGTGTGGTTGCTCAACATTTTTATATATATTTAACTATTCATGAAGCAATAGTAATTTGCAGATTGCATACGCTTAGATTATTTTCAAGTGTTACTTTGTCTGCAAAAATCCCGGCTTCAAATCCGCCAAGAGATTACAATATTGTAGATATATTTTGAGAAATATATTAGACTTAAAAAAGCGAAGTGACATTTTCTCTCGGTAAGTTTGAGGCTCAAATAGAAACACTCAGGCCATGATCAACAGCCGGATCTCGAAGTGGTGACTCGGATGTGATATGGGAAATCACCACGTTATAACTACGAGCAAAATAAAGATTGAACTAACTTTTTTTTATTCTTTTTTTCT